TACAGGAAATAACAGGAAAGTCAATGCTGACATTGCAGTTGCTCTTCAGCGATGAAGAGCATACAACAAATTGGTTTCAGATTACGGATTTGAACACCTGTTGATCCGTTTTTTCGGAAAGTGATCTTTAGCATCCGAAATGTAAATAGGAATTTACCTGGTTTGAAATAACAGTAATAGAGTAATTTGAAATAACATAAATAGAGAAGAGTCATTGCTGTAGCTTAGACTACTGCGATAGTAGCAATGGCAGCGTAATCATTCGATTCGATTCGGTTCGAGAGTATCCTAGCGGACTAAAGATCAATTGGTGTGTGGCCTCAATTGCTTGTGTGGGAGTTGTAGGAATTGACAAAAGGGTAAGGCGTTTCTCCCGTTGAGGAGATTCATTAAGACTTCCACTTTAAAATTCCATGGGTATAAACTGTGTGTGAAATTCAATGTAATCCAGCAGATAAAGCCTGAACTTTACCTACCATTTGGTTAAATAGAGAGTTTACTTTTACTTTACGGAATGATCAAAGATCAATGACTCCATATAAGACAAAAATCAACGAAAATTTAGAGCCAGCAATATGCCACAAAGAGTTATACCTCCAACTGTTTACACAGTTTTTGATTCAGCAACTCATATTTTAATAAACACAATAACCAATTTAAACCAAAAAATCGGAGAAAAAACAAGAAAAATGTTAACAATAATCAAAACATTTGTATTGGGCGGATTGTGGTCGTTAGAGTGCGCGAGGTAAAAACATTTTTGGCCAACCAAAAAAAGTTTACAAGATTTAAAAAATAAGACAAAAAGTATGGGTGTGGCTGTTCGGAGCGTTTCAGAAACGGTGGGCTTAGTCTCAACTTTCTACAGACGGACATGGCCAGGTCAATATTAGTATATACTAGTCAAGAATATATATTATATACTTTATTTGGTCGGAAACTCTTCCTTCTGGCTGTTACATATATTACATATATTATACAAAGACACTAGAATAATAAGATGCGTAACGTACATTGGTTTTTTACTATGCAGCCACTTTTTAGGTGGCGGCAATAATTGCTCTCTCCCTTAAAAATCTAAAAATAGAATTCACTTGCTCATGTAAGTGAAAACAGTAAGAAAAAAAGTGTGCATGTGTGCGTAGTTGTGCTAGAAGACGATTTTCGGTCCGAAATCAATTTTTATCTAAGAAACGAAATAGATTATTGTTTTGGTTAATTTCCTTGCATCAATAAATTTTACTTTGTTACAAAAGTTTCATATAGTGTTGAGGTTGTACACGGCTTGCTGAATGTTTTCATTTCTCTGGTCCGTGTTCTTTGTTCTTGCTGGTACTAAGGTACTGGATTGGGTACTTCAGGGCGTAAATTGAATTAAATATTCTGCTTTTTGGGAATAATTCATTTAATTTATTATTCTGTGTTTTGGGAATAAAAAGTTGTTTTCTGTTATTATTAATAGTTAGAAAAAGAGCCAAATCAAAAATAGTTGCAATTTTATTAATTTTGAAATTCTTTGTTGTGGGTGTCCCAGCTGTTAGTGCTGCCAACCTATTGCAGTGGACGACCTTGATCGAGCCGCGTTGCCAGACAAACGGCACGGTCAGATCTGCGTTCGTAATCGGATAGGGCGCGAAACCATTTTTTTTATAAACCGGTTGATTTGAGTGAAGTTAATATAATATAATATAAAATAAATAAATAATCCAATACCGAAAAAGACTCTGTGCGATCGCTATATATCGCTCAAATATATAGTGTGATTTATAAAAAAAAAAAAAAACAATAATTAAATAATAAAACTACGAGCCCGAACGCTTAGCGCCAGCGCGAGGAAGACTAGCGCCGGCTCTCAATTCAACGAAACAACGCTCACTTTTCTAACGCCTCCGCGACAGCTGCCAACGCAGACAATGAGCAGTCAATAACCCATAGCCCAACGAACCTTTTTTTGTCAACAAATCAAGAAAGAGTGCGCTATTTCCAACAACAACAGCTGGAGCAATATCGACAGCCCGCTGAATTTCGTCGTCGACCGCATCCGCTCACGCTCTCACTGAGTCAGCGAAAACAAAAGCGCAAGAACAAAACGGAAAAAAATTCCGATGCAGAAAACAAGCCGGAAAATATATCCGACAATACTACCTTGATCAATAATGTACCGCCCGTAAATACCAACAGTCTGTGAGTCTCACTTTGCTGGCAGATACCGCTGAGTACGTGCCACTGGAACCCGTCGTTAATGAACCGAAAAATCAAGCCTCCCACAATTTACATCCGCCAGAGGAGCACAAGCTGTCTGGTAAATACTCTGATTGGCCTCATAAGAGGTACTATTAATGAAAACAAACAAACAAAAAGCGGAGGAAAACTACAGAAAGTTCACAAAGTACCTTACTGTAAACAAGGTATGCTTATACATTTACCAGCTTATAAGTAGCAAGCAGCCTACAAATAGTATTGAAGGGCTTTGAGTCTGATGTTACGCCCGAAGACATACTTGAGACGGTAAAGGAAAAGGATTCTGCGCTAAAAGCGTGTTCAATATCTAAAACAGAAACAGGCAGCCGCAACCACTCTTTAAGATTGAGCTTAGACCAGAAAACAAGACTCTTAATAGATAATAAGTAAATTCACACAATTTGCAAACTCCAAGCTTCTTCTGCACCGTAAGTTTACAGTAGAAGAGCCGCAAACCGTAACGCTCGTGTACAATGTATGAACTGAAGACGCACTTAACTCCTAAAGTAATACAGAAAGTTTGCAGTGCGGTGCAACACAGCCACTCCCACTAATCATAATATTGAGGCTGGAGTACCCCAAGGCAGCGTTCTTGGTCCTTCTTTATACATCATCTATAGAGCCGACATTTCTACGAATAGTCGCCTAACGGTATTCACGTTTGCCGAAGATACGCTATCCTTAGCCATTCAAGGTCCCCAATTCAAGTTTCAGCTGGCATTGCACCTCATAGACATTGAGAAGTGGCTTTCTGACTGGCGAATAAAAGTAAGTGATCAAGAATGCCAGCATGTGACGTTTACGATAAATATAACATACCACTCCCGAAAGCAGATGTGGTAACGTACCTAGGAATACACCTTGCCAGAAGACTCAAAGGCGCAGGCACATTGAAGCTAAAAAAAAATCATATTTAATTCAAAGCGAACAATTTACACTGGCCCATCAACGCAGACTCTCCGCTCAGCCTAGACCACAAGGTCTTACTCTATAATTCTGTATTGAAACCTATCCGGACCTATGGCTCACGGTTTGTGGGCGTGGTTAAAAGTTTTTTGGCAAACTAGTAAATAGAAATTTACTAAATATATAAAAAAATAAGAAAAAATTTACATTTTTCAATAGTGTGGGCGTGGCAGTTTTGGGCAGTTTGTGTGCGGAAGAGTGGACGTGGCAAAACGATTTTTGGCAAATCGATAGAAATTTATAATAAAAGGAGCAATAAAAGAAAATCAAAATATTTTTTAAAAGTGTGGGCGTGGCAGTTTTGTGCCGTTTGTGGGCGTTGGAGTGGCAAAAAGTTGTTAGGCAAATCTATAGAATTTTACAAAATATATAAAAAAAATGAAAAAAATGTTCAATATTTTTCAAAAGTGTGGGCGTGGCAGTTTTATGCTGTATTATACAGAGTCTTACACAGCTCTGCAGTCGTTCCCGTCTCCGACGAAGGGATCTACCAACCCAGCGAAGAAATTTTTAGGGACGTCTAATCATAGAACAGTTGGAAAAAAAAAACAACGGTTCAGAAAAATTTGTTCTTGTTAAGATTGTTAAACTTATTTCTTATACAAAAAAATGCAATGAATGAAAGCAAATTAAAAAAAAAACATTTCGAAAAGAGACTTGTTTTCTTTCTTTCGTCACTATATGAGTAACGGTCATATTATAGCATATGACTACAATATAGTTATTGTTATCTAAAATTCTGCAAAAATTAAAAATTTGCAAAAAAAAAACCTAAGGGGTTATTGTCGTTCCGAAGTTTTAACGGTGGAAACCAGTTTAGATGGTTCATATATTTTATTTATTATATTCCCCATGACGTAAGCACTAACGTTTGCCTTGGTTGGTGGAAAACACTTCAAACGCTTCTTTTCGAAACTTATTAAAAATTGAGTAAATACATGCTCGAATAGTTATTCTTTACTTATCTGACAATCGCGCAATCAACTTTATAACGAAAGAGATCATCTCCGTTTCTACTCTCGGATACTGATATCTACTAAATGTCGTGATAGCCTATTCTGTGCCGAAAAACTTAAAACCTGATCGCATGGAAATTGGGTGACTAAAGCCAAGTAGTCCGGTCCCAGAACTTTGTTAAGGGTAAGGGTATGTGAGCATTCAATGAACAGCTTCTGAATGTATTATCAATAATTAATAAATAATTAATTTTTTATTTTATTTAACTACAATAAATCTGTATAAATTTCTGTATCAGTAGCCGTGTTGTGTTAGTTTACTTTATTTATTTTTATACTATAAAAAAGTACTAGTTTAGAAAAGGCAATATCCCGAAATAAATAGATCAAAATATAACTGATTTAGAAAATTTAAAATTCAAATTAGCAAATACTTTTTTAGTGCTTTTAAACTAAAATAATGGATAAAAGGAAAATTAATTTGGAAAATTGCTCTAGCGGTTCAGACACCAATTTGTGGTATGTGGACGTCAGAGTGGGCGTAGCGAATATGTTTTCGGCTATTTTTTCTCATTTTATTTTTTGTCTTGCCAATTTCTATTAATATGCCACGGCTTTTAACCGTCCAAAAGCTGTCACGCCAACAGCTTTAAAAATGTTTTTGAACTGTTTTTCATTTGACTGTTTTTTATGGATATTTTAACCCTATTTTTAAATATCTCCAAGCACTCCCGCTAGCTGAGTAAGGGATATATGATAGTCGAGGAAATCGCCTATAGCGTTCCCCCTTTTTTTATTTTTTGAACTACATTACTTATATTTTAACCTCTTTTGCAGGAAAATATCACAATACGGGATCAGTTATTTTTGTTTGCCACGTCTTGCCACTGTGAATTGGGAAATGCAAATGGTGTTTTTCCTAAGTATTCAGTATCTGATGGAAATGAGAGAAAAAATGAGAGACTTACATCAAAGGCAAAGCATTGCAATAAGAATAATACCGCAGCAACCATAAAAAAAAATGTCGCTATATTATTTGCTATGGCTTTTGTGGTATCTCTGAATGCTGGAACTTTTCAAAAATATGTTAGCATGCCAAATAATATGGAAGGCATAAGTGATATTGAGCCTATCGGAAAACAATTAAGCATGCCCAGTCGACATTTACTCTGGGCTGACACAGAGGAGGAATATCAAGAAACAAACAAATTAAAGACATTTCTTACAGACAAACAGCCTAATCCACCTCTCTATTTTTTAAGTTCTGGTAAACGCAACCGCAATATAAATTCTTTAGAAAACATTACTAAAAATGTATCTCAAACTTACTCATTTAATGAACCTCCACCATTAACATATTTACCTACACAAACCTGTATAAACAGGTGCAGGTCCTTCAATTCTTCTTCCAATCAATCTAAATATTTCATGCTCGCTCAAAATTTACATAAATGGATTAGCGGCACCTTAAACATGTCTCCAAAAATTGCAAACGAGAAAGAGGACTTAAATGGTTTTGACTTATTGAATAATTACTTTGAAGAAAGACGTGACATACAAATTAAACACGAAAAGCAAAAAATGTTTATTGATTTAAACGAATATACTACGGTTTTACCGGAAAAACAGCGAAAACTAAACAATACAAAATCTTTTGAACAATTGAATCTAATAAGTAAAATTAAGAGAAGAGATGATACTTTTTACGTATTTTCTTTAAATATGGATCATGCACTACTTCCAGCATTAACATACAATAGTAGTTATCGGCCAAAATTGTCGCTGGTACTTCCCTTAGAAAATCCCGGAATTAACGGTAAAATGAAAATGATCCAGGTAGACTGTGAGGTATTTAATACTAAAGACTTTGAAGTGAGTCATCATTTGCTTCCAGATAAAGTTCGTCAAAATACCGTTCAACGGAAACCCAACAAGCAAAATATAAAAAAAGTTAGTGTTGAAACACCATTTAACACAATACGCGATCAAAACTCGATGGTACGCAAAACCCCACGGATGCGTAATTTTTACAAGGTTGGTTCTAGAAATCAAGCTACCGTCGCATCTAGTTTTAATAAAGAAACACATCTTAACAACCAATAACTATCAGCTTTACCGTGTTGCGCGGCATAATACAGTACAGTAGCATACAGAACCTCGTAGAGTAAAAGCTTTTAGTAGATTCGTTGTATGTTTGTAACGTCTGTATGTCCGTATTTCGCTACGCCGAATTTTGAAAATTTTGTAGATTGATTTTTTATTTCATTAAATGTTTTGCAAATTTCTATCGATATGCCAAACAAATTTTTTTCACGCACAGTTCATAAAACCAAGTAAGGTATATCTATGATATGAATCGAGGAAATCGACTGTACCGTTGTGTTCTTTCCTAATGTGTTCTTTCTATCAATAAAATATATATGAAATATGAAATAAAAGCTTTATTAATCAAAACTGGCTATGTGAACGTCGAAGTTCTGTAAAGTAGATGAGCTTCAAAGCACAAAATTAAATAGACAAAATTAAAATAAGCACAATAAAACAAATAAGCGAATAATTCAAAAATTGAATAATAAACACCATTAAATGTTGTGTTGGACATTGTGACGCGTTTTTACTTTTTTTTTCAACATAAAATCTTTGTAAACTATTTAAAAAAAAAAATATTTGACATAATAATTAAAACTGTCTATTTGAGCGAAGTAGATTTGTAAGATATGTGAGCTGTATAGCACAAAATTGAAATGTTGAATAAATAAATAAGTATAACGAAAATTTAATACTAAATATCTTTAGTCCTTTAAATTGATAAGCGTTGCCACTTTTTTAGGGCAACATGCAATCTTTGTAAACTGGATAAAAGCAGTCACAATAAAGTAGAAATTGTCGCATTATTGTCGACTGAAGTATTCATATGGAAACACATGGGCGACAACATCCCTCCTGGAACCGAACAACACAAAAACAGACATATTTTACTTTCTTTTTCGTTAAGTCGGACGTATGCTCCAAACGTATGGCGTTGTTCTTCACCTTTAAAACACAGTATAATGACCGGGTAAGAGTAAGATGTACCACTAACTGTTCGACATGGAAAATGCCTTATCTACCGTGGAAAAACGGTCCAGAATATCTTTGGCCGAAATGGATGACACTTGCCTTTTACTAATATGGTCCTAGGTATGTCGCTGCACTGGCTAAGCCACTGATCTCGTAAACTTTGCAGTCCGGTGGGTCTGTGCCACCAAAGCGGGTTATCAATTACTTCCGCAAGGGATAGGCAAAATCAGCTGGATTGTGTTCGTATTGAAGATGTGATTAGTTTTTTGTTGGTAACAGAAATTTAAAGAAATTTTTCCAAATCTCGTTCAGCTTACTTGGCAAATAACACTCACAGACAAACATTTGAATCAAGTGTGATGCCCTTGCAAGAGGCAAAACAGTGTATATGTATATTCAGTGCATATATCGGTTCAGCACAATTTTCGCACAGGCTAGGGAGCCCTAGAAACATACTTTCATATGCTAACGCCAGCTTAAAAGGGAGCTAATGTATTGTGGCATTCCCTTAGTTTGACCTTCGGAATTTTCCAATGCTAAATACATATCTAAAGTTCTTGTGCTGTTCATCTTTACCGCAAGTCGTGCTATAGTGGATCTGCGCCAAAAATGCCTAACTCCGTTCTTTCGCAATTCAATTCACGTAAGTCTCGTCTGCCGGAGCCACACTTACTCAGGTTCAGAAAGTGTAACGAAGACTGAACGGATTTTATAGCCATGTATACAACACCGTTATAGGAAACACCGAGAATCTGAGTAAAGTCGAGAAATTTCAACATTTACGTGCTTATTTAAATGCGACTAGCTCAAATAAATATATGGAACCTACCTAACTATGACAAAGCGTTAGACTTACTTATAAAGTGTTTTTAAGTTGGATTATTTTCAGAGTCATGTGCGGGCGACCTTATGGATATCAGTTGTGAATAAAGGTTCATCAACGGCTCTTCGAGTGTTGACTGCCGATTGGTGATTAACTGACATTAGCATAATGCCAACAATCACTGAATTGCCTAACGGATTGCTAGCCCACATAATTTTGCATAAGCGCGATCTCAACACGCAGGTATGTTGCATCTTTTACGATACTAGGTACCACAATCTTGTAAAATCTTGTTGTTTGTAGAACTATCTCCAAATCTGCAGCACAAGTAAGCGAAACGAATGCTTGAACTGCTTACACGGCAAGCGGGCACGTCTTGTAACAATGTAAGCCTGTACGCTGCAGGCATCTCTAGACGGGATTTTAGAGGGAACTATATAGAGGAACTCTATATCCGACAACAAAGGATAATTTTCTAATCTCTCCTAGCAGCGATGTCGACCTTTGTGTCCCGTCAGAGGGATAGAGATAGTCCCAGGCACTATCAAAAAAAGCGTTCGTTGCTTTAAGCTAAGCGAAATTGGATCTTCGCACCATTACCTGTAGATTGGTACTTTGTGTAAGAAATGTACTTATAATGTTGGAATGGTAATGAAAAATATAAATCCAAATATGGGTAGTGCAGTCCAAACTGGACTAAACGCTAGTCCCGTTCAAAAAAACAAACGGTCTCACTATACCAAGGGACTTATCAAGAGCGACACGGCCAATACTTGGTTCACAAGTCCAGACAACATCACAAAAATTGCAAAGTGCGGTTAGTTGAAAAAAAAAATTGTTCTGCTTCAAAACAATATACAATAAAGTGGGTCAATAAGTCAGAATAAAAGGAAATGGGTACCGAGATAAAAAATCTTAGGTACGCAAATGATGAACACGGAAGCAAAATAAAACGCCACCGATATAAAAGAGGACAACTTCAATGAGGTCAAGACCTCAGAAGTATTGGTCAGTAAGAGGCAGAGAACTTGTCTGGCGAATACACCAGAGGAACAGGTCAGAAAATAGGTCCTACTTTTTCTGGATCTAGATTATTCGAATATGTTGTAGTTAGTACTTTCTTTTCTTAAGCATAGGCAGATGTTTTGGTCTCCGCTCCTCCGCATTTTCTTTTTGGTTTACCGAGGCACCAACTTTTCACCCTTGGTAGATATTCGGGTCACCACCAACTTCGCAATCTTAGCAGACTATCGGGTCTCGGCAACTTTCTTGTTCTTAGGAGACTGACGAGCCTTCACCAACTTCTCGTTTTTAACTGACTTACGTGCATGCACGAATTCTAGCACACCTAGCTATACCAAGTATATCATTGTTTTAGGGACACCAATAGCCGACAAGGCAAGGAGCCGTCGATCCTTTATATCACCTTTCTCGGGAATCAGTACAGGCACAGGCGGAATGCCTTCGGGGCAAAGAAGCATTGACGACGGCCAAGACAGCCGACGACATACTTAAGTATTCTTACGTGATAATGATTAGTTCCAGAACGATTCTGTAGCGACATTATTAACATTTTTTTGGCTGTAATTACCATAAAATTGTTTAATTTTGTCTGAATACCTTTAGCTGAAAAGCGGGTACCTAATGTGAAACTTTAATACAGCGTAAGCTCTTGTTTAGTTCTATTATGTTTTGATGATCCATTGATGTTGTAATAGTTGTAGCTGTATAATGCACTCTGGTAATGCAAATTTTCAACAAGGATTATTATGCGTTGTTATAATTGGTTAGTATTTTCGAAAAATATATTTACGTTTTTGCGTTAATTTTTATTTTTATTTTTATTTTTATTGTTCCTATATACGCCATATGGATACACACTCGAACCCCAACAAACCGCCTAAAGTCATATATTTTTTTTTTTTTTGATTAAATATCTATCGAGGGCCTAAATCATTTTGCCTTTTCTTTTGAACAAATTTTGATTTTATAAATTAGCGTGCCACTCTTTTTCGAGAACTCAAAAAAATGTTGAAAGTTCTCCCCTTTTTTCCAAATAGCCGAGTAACGGGTATCTATCTGATAGTCGGAAAACCGAGGGAGCGGTGTACCCTCATTTTTATTAGAAATCTAATAAAAATTGTTTAACGGTTATTGTGGTAATATGATTGTGACAAGCAGTGTATTTGGAAATCATGTAACCGAGACCGAAGAAGGCTGGAATACAGGAGAAGTCAACGGCAGCCAGGTCAAACGGAAATAAATGGATCTTGGACCTCGGCAAAGCGGATACCTTGAGTTAACGGTACCGCGCTGGACCTTGGACTCGAGTCGGCCAAGGGCAACGAGGTCAGAACGACGATGTAAGGACATCGAGGGATCGACGTCGCACAGAAGATAAAGCTGATAAATCGCAGGATTACGCAAAGGTGGCGAAACAGATGCGAACAGCTTTCGTTTCGACGGGCACGAGAAGCAGCTGGAATTTCTGGAGCAATTTGAATGGTCAGCAATGACGTATGGACTGGACATCAACCAAATACCAAGAGCGATGCCTGAGCTGCTGAAAGGCAGCGCCTTGAAGAGGTTCATAGCCAACAGCAAGTGCTGCGAAACATGGGCGGAGTTCATACAGAGCTTTCAGGAATTCTCCAAGACCACTGGACGCGGGAGTGCATGAACCGATCAACTTCTGATGAAATTGCGGGAGAATCGAGGAGTGCTGCCCGAGAACGGAAAACACCTCGCGACCTTAAAGGGGAAACTAGGGTTCGCAAGGTGCTGCCCCTTAAAATTAATGGGAGAACTGAAGACGGAAAGAAGGGAACTGTCCGCCACAGTGCTCACAGACGGAGTGAAAGGTAAGACCACGATGGAGACCTTAGCCACGGGTAGTATTATTAGCGAAGAGCTGGTGGACAGGTAGCAGGCGGCGGGAAAGGCATTACCCACTAGAAGAGAACTGCAGATGGCAATTGGGCAATATTAAGAAGACGCCTCGCAGATCGAAGTTGATATAGGACTCGGAGAGCGAGGCTTAAGGACGCACCTGTTAATCCTCAGCAACATAATCGATACTCTAGTAATAGGTTGGAACTTCCTAACAAGGCCACTCTTGTGGAGTGTGCAGAGCTCAGCCTGGCAATACCGAAAGCAAAACAGGTCGAAGCTGATCAAGCAAAAGACTGTCAGTAGAAATCGTGGAGAGAGTACGTGGAGGACTTCTCGGAGGAGGATGTTGATGGGTTCCTAAAGTCAGAACTAGCCGACATAGAAAGGATGCAAGGAACATCAACAGTGGCGGTGCACAAAATCACGATTAAGGATGATCAACCCTAAGAAGCAGGTTGAGATCAACGACGAGGTCGTCGAGCTGTTCCACAATGAATGCATTGAGACGTCTACGAACCCGTTCAGCTCACCAATAGTGATGGTAAAAAGAAGACGGGGAAATGGAGGCTATGCGTTGATTTCTGCCAAATAAACATGACATATTACATTCTGGACCAACTAAGGGAGGCGAAGTACATAAGCAGCCTGGACCTAAAAGACGGATACTGGCAGATTCTATAATAAAAAGTGATGCCTTTCAGACTACATTATGCGTCGGCGATGGTTCAGCGGGCATTGGACCAAGTGATAGGTCCCGAGATGCTGCCACACGCTTTCGCATACTTGAGATGAAGGTATATAGCCATCGGGTTACCATGGAAGCGTGATTTTATTTCTTTGTATGTTAGCTTAGTGCCCACGCGTATTGGGCCGATGGTCTCTTGCTATGAGGAAAGAAAATGCTGGGACGCCTGTCGGGGCCCAAATCAGGAAAAATCTCCCAGCAGGATACTATGAATAGTCCTAATAGGGACTATATGTGGAGTTTGTGTAGTTGTATATCTAATTTTATTGAAGGTGTTGGGTATATTCCTTTCTTTGAACGACTTTATGTAAACTTAACCGTTATATTTCTTGTTTGAGTTCCAACGTTGTGTCGTCGTATGTTAAGTCGTTAAT